TGGTGGTCACACCAAAACACGGCTTCATCAGTCAATGTAATCCACAACAGTTAGTTTAAGCCAGTCACGTAGGAAGGTTTAAACTTTCTGACTGTTTGGGGTCCTCGGGACGGTAAATACCAAATGGCTGGAGACAATCGGTGATATGGCTCAAAATCCTCGCAGATGTATCCACTCCTTGTGACTCATAATTTCCAATAAAACTATATTGTTCTTCGTTATTACTATTCCTTTTGCCTCATATCCCTGTTTGTTGTCTCTATTTTGTGTTTCTATTTTACTTTCTTCTTCTTCCATGGCTTTGTATGCTGAGTGAAGTGTGAAGACTCGAACTGCTGCACATCTGTGTAAAGTCCTATGTCGAAACCAGTCAGTCAGCCAACAGCTTATATAAAGTGTGACTAATGTTACTCTCAGTTACAATCAATCACTTATTATCATTGTAAAAACGTATATTCAGATCTTTAATTTAATTTACAACTTTGGTATTGTTCAGGTTGTAACCAGGTGAGAAGAATCCATTTGTCGTACTTGCTTTATTCATAAGAAAATTATTAACAGACCAATGAAATATGGAAAAATATGTATATAGTGAATAAAGTTCACTTAGTTAGGTATAAGAAAAGTGATGCATGAAGCTTAATAAGTGATGACGTAAGTAAGTACGAGTGAAGAGAAATCGACATTTTAATTTGATAAAAGATAATGTTATTATTTAATGTTAAAAGAGAACGGAATACTACGGCTTTTTTGAATACATATATTAGACTTATGAGAACTTCAAGCTTGCTTAACTAAATTTTCCTATCAGTTGATTGTACCGAAGTGCTCGGTCTCAGACTGACATGTCGGCTTCTTGTGCAGATGCTTCAACGATGTCTGGGCATGTAGTTGGCATTTAAATGATAGACGGTGACTAGCTGACGAGTCCCAAATAGGACGAAATGCGCATCCTGGATTCCATTGCTAGTCACCATCCACCAGTTTATTTCAAGATGGCTTGTTTATTTCTTCGAAGAGATTCAAGATATCTAGCTAGTGTCCTGATTCAATGAAACGACGCGTAAATCCGATGCTCAAAGATTTACTTTCGCTTAATTGCGAATATTTAGACATATATTCAGAAAACCGGAGATAGGTGTATCTGTTTTTCGGCAAGTAAACTTAAATTTATACATGATACCATTGAAATATAATAAGCCCATTTTCATCTTGCTTCACCACGTGTTGTTACTCTTCCGCTTAAATTCGCTGTGGGGAATTCGTGCATAACTTATTCTTTTATGTCTGATTGCTTCCTTAGCATGGCATAAAACTAACTTAAACATACAAAAAATCGAATGTAATTTACCTGGGCATTGGTGAATCCATTTCTTGTCTTGCTTATCAGTAACATATTTTATTTCTTTAGTGCTACTTAACACTGAACAATCTTCCGTCAGTATATCTGTCTCTGTCTTACTAAATGATCTAGTCTTATGATGATGTGATGACTTGATCCACTCTGCGGTAGACATGTCACGCATCTATGAACCTATAGCTTGGTAAATGTCTTCGTCGAACAGAAAAGTCTTTGCTGGATGGAGATACCTCTTTTGCCTTTGCATTTGATCCTATAAATGCATCCCTCTGAACTTAATTTGTGAAGTGTTCAAGTTTTTGAAAATTAAGTTTCATAAAAATTGCACCTAGGATTATTGTGCTAATTTTTTTTCCTTCACGTTCGCCAGTGGAACATAAGGCTTCAAACTTATGGCTTGAAGTTTCTGTAGCTGTATTTATTTTACAGGATGGGGTTGCTAGCCTCATGCCCAACCCTTCCTATTTACCAGCATTACTTCTGGTTTGCAGAGGTAAAAGATAACGCCGGTGGCTGGGGATCGAACCCCGGACCATGTACATGGTCGGTGAGCGTCCCAACCGCTATGCCACCGACTCCCAGGCCACTACAGACTTTTATCAATGGATGCCTTCGCTTCCGACTGTTGACCAGATAACCTGAGACAACCACCAACGATCTCTGGGAACGAATCAAGTTCACGATTCACAAATAGTTGAGTGACATTACGCGTCAGATTGTTCAGTACAACCCGGAAGGGAAATGATGTGTTGGCTTCCGAAGGTGATATGGAAGAGATCCTGTCATGAGGTAACCAACCCTTGAGCCTTCTTCAGAGGATTGCAGAGTACTGAATGAATCGATGATGAGCAGCTGAAGTCCTGTTTTCCACTCATAACTTGAGGGAATAAGAGTATTTAAGTGCAATATGCACCGAAATTACCAACGTAAAACTTTGGATTTTTTTTATGCGGTTATTCAAATTTCATTGGATTCATCTTTGGTCCTCAGTTACAGAGCATTGGCAGCGACGGAAATTACACGACACCGGAACCACAGTGAAATGAAATTACTTTAAGTAAGAAAGGTGAAAACAGATAAACCATACACTTGACCCCACAATTAATATATTGAGAGGTTAGAATATGAAGTGCAGAGACTGTAGGTATAACTACCAGTTATTATGCGGCAATCACTGAACGAAACTCATGTTCTCCTACTCTGGCAACATCGACCTGATTGTTTTATTGGGAAATCCGATTCTTACTACCTAAGCTTTCTAGGTAAGTATCATATAGGCGTTCATAGCACAGGTTTCTGCTACTCGAACCTATGCGAACTTTCAATTCCATTGGTTCGAATTTTCGCCTTGCACAAAGGTCCTCCTTGTTTTGTTAAACATGTGTAGGGACAATCAATGTTATGTAATTACAGCCTTGGAATACCTGTTAGCATTTATAGCCACATTGGACAGATACATTCTGTAACAGAACAGGCTGCTGTATGTAAAGCCAAAGACCTAGTAGACAAGGCCTACCTCAATTGTTCCACGAGTGGAGCAGGAGGTTTTTTCAACTTTGTTGTGGTTTATTCGGTAAAAAGCTACCTAGATAATTGAGTTGATCAAAGTACGCTTATTCTTTACTTAAAATTAACGATTCATTTTTAATTCCGGATTCGGATTCCGTATAAGGGGCAATTAAAATAATCATCTTAGACGTTTTTTATTTTATATTTGTTAGTAATAAACTTCAAAGGAGAAGTTTGCGTTTTTACTTAGAAATTATAATTAAGTGTTCAGCAAAATTAATTAATTAGTTAGTTAGTTAGTTATTCTTTCATCATTCATATTTTTCAATTAACTAAGTATAACAGAGATACTTTATGAAGTATTTCCGAGGTTAATTGCATGAAAGAATTTCTTTTGTCTGATAACAAGTAGACGTTAATACTATTTCCTACATTTATTCCCCTTTATGAGATTGAATCATGCATGAACAACAGATTTTGCAGAATAATTTCAACTGTGTGTATTAATTTACGTGTATCTAAAGGAGCAGTGACAAAAGGGGGAGGAGAAAGTAGAGCACGCATCCGATTTTCTGACACATATGCTAAAAAGCCTATGTCTCAAGAAAACAAACACTTACAATAGTGCCATTGCCAGACATCTCTGTCATACGTGTCATGAGGTGGAAATTGCAAATTCCTATAAAATTATAAATGGACGAAAAAGCTCAATTCTCCTCAAGTTTGTATGGAGGATTTCATCATGAGCTGACATCAGTCAGAGAACCACTGGAAAACCTGGGAGTACTGGAAAGCTGTTTCGCCCTAGTTTGGTACTCTTCATCAGTACGCACCCACCGTCATGGTTCGAACCCAGAACCTTCTGGTTACAAGGCGAGCTTGTAGATCATTGAGCCACTGGGACCCGATCAGAAAGGAGAGGTTATCAGTTTTTCCTTGCCCTGGTAACTGGATGTCTTCACTCTCTCTTTCATTTGATTGCATATTCTCTGGCTTTAACATCAATCCTGTCCTTCGATATAGTGTAATCTTGCTTGTCTCTTGTTTCTATGATTTGAGTTGAACTCAGTGCATTGTCAGACAATTTATTAGTTACTCATCACCTTACGTACCACTGGTCCTTATTACGTAACTCCTTTTCCGCTGTATACACACATTTGCTTGGTTTATACTTGAACTGTCTGTGTAAAAACTGTATAAACGTAATTTTCTGAGCGCTGTTCACCAAGTTTGGAAATTCCTGTCAACTGAAATCATGTAAAATTTACAAGAATGTTAACACTTTTCCGTACATGAACCTAATAGTATTAATAATAATTTATTTAGGCTGTAAGCATATGATGACAAGCCAATGAAGTAAAGTGTGGTAAATACTGTCCTCAAATCTGAATGAAATATTGTCTTATTTATTATTATTATTCCCTTTAGCTCCTAGAACAACATAGGGCTTCATCCGCGCGTCTCCATTGCGTTCGGTTCTCTGCTAGCGTTTTCACCTGGCTCCAAGTCTGCCCAAATGCTTTCATCTCCTCTTCACATGATCTCCTTCAAGTCACCCTAGCATTGACGACCAACTCACCGCTTCCCTTTTGGGTTCCACTCGAGCGATGGCTTGTTTAGTGATGTCAGCTGCTGGTTTCCTCAGTGTATACTGTCTAAATATTGTCTAAACGGCTGTTCCCTTTGATTTCGTGTGCTTTGTCACCTTTATTCTTAAGCTGTCTAGCTGTCATTGAAATTTTATGCATGTATGATTCACATATTATCAATACAGATACAGAATCACCAATTTTAACGTTACACGTGATACCATGAAGTAGTCATCATGAATGTTACTTATGGTGCTATTATAAGTAGTATAATACATTTTCACAGTAGTAGTTCAACCAATACTACTACTAATCCTACTCTGCATATTTTGTGCGTATACTCCTAGAACTAATACTGAAACTGTTAAACATAGCGAGTAATATCAATACCGCATATTTAATTAAGGTTCACTGTCATTACGTAATCCCTATTTGTATGAAATCATTGTTGACTATTTTGATGTTTACTTTTCATCATGTGATAATCTTTTTTGTAAAATATTTTTTTAAAAACATAATTTTCTATATCTTTATTATAACAGGCTATAAAGAATAGTAAATTTGGAGAATCATATGCGATAGTGTTATACACAGAAAATGGTTATATTCAATGGCTTGTATTCTTTCAAAATGTGAGTAATTTATTGAGAATGTATTTATAAACTGAATGACACCAGTGAAGGCGTTTTAATGCTATGATTTAGATAGAATAGGAGCTACCTGATGAAGAGTTTCAGAGTAGAACGAAACAGCTTTCTAGTACTCAATGGTTTTCAGGTGTTCAACAACTGGCATTACAATAACTCCCTATTATCTAACTCTTGAGAATGAATCTGATGTTCGCTGATGAATAGCTTCAGGAGGAAGTTGGCAGATAAGAAGTCCTCCTCAGCAAGGTCCGCCACATCGGATTTGAGGACAAATACACGCAGATGACATTTTCTGGTGTATGTGTTAATATCAGGAATAAGCAGAAGCTGGAACTCATGAGCCACTGAATCGCGTCTGAGTGGATGAATGCTCCGTATGATTGGCTTTTGAAATGAATTTCCTGGTTTCGAACCTTGGTGGTGTGTACTGAATTGTTTTTCTTGTTATTCATGTTTACTGAATTGTTTCAACTGATTCATTATTTATAGTGATTTCGATAGAGAAAGAAAGACCTGGTTTGCAGTATAAAATGATACCATCATTCTATTTCACAGGTTCTCATCACCTACAAACTACCTGAAATTGCAATGTTTATAAATAATGACATTTCATGCTTCAATGTTTGAAAAGTAATACAGAAAACATTATAGGATGAACGGATCCGGAATATAAGTATTACAATTTTTAGTTTAAGTTATCATCAATTTATATGTTACCACACTATGTAAAAGAAAAGAGTTGTGAGAGAAGACAGGAATATCTAATCAACAGTGTTAGCTTGTACGTCAGCATGGCGACACAAGAAGATTAAAGTCTATCAAATTGAAAATTGCTCAGTGAGTTGACCTCACTAGTGTGTATGACAATTCAGTGTAGTGAAAGTAATACAGTTACCAAGGGAGTGAGAGATTGACTAAACTTTCTTTCTGTGTGCATAAGTTTGGTCTGAGACGTTTGATTGCAATTGCTTCAGCAGTAAATCGTAGTAGATTCGCTGTCCTTTGAATGTTTATTATTTTGAAGGATTTGAAAATCTTGACAAAATGACCCGTATCCACAAGGTGTCTGGTAAATCTACTTTGTAAATATTTGCTTCATTTTAAGCATAAGTTTCTTGTAATATGCTCTGAAAACCGGACAGGAGTTCTTCTTTCTGTCCTTTCAGTGTACTTGCTGCCACAAGTGCACGTTAATTTATAAATGCAGTTGGAGGTGACGTCAGCAGGGTACTTATCCAGTTTCGATTGGCATATAGAGCATGCCTTCAGGCAAGCACTCTTTATTGCTACTTTCATCCCTTTTCAATCTTCTGTGATACTTCTTCTCCTTTGTGTGGGTATCAAATGAACACTCTCCTCTTTCCAACTGTGGCATACTTCTCTTTCTCATCTCTTTCTTTTCTGTACTTTAGGATAACTCCTTTTGGATACCCGGTTTCCGTAAAGCATTTTTGAACAGAGCTTAATTTTTCTTCCATCTTGTTGGGTGAACATAACTTCCTGGCTCTGTCGTACAGTGTTCGTACTAATCCCCGCTTACAGCTTATAAGGCAGAAGCTGTTGTAGTGAAGGTATTTTCCAGTCCAGGTTTCTTTTCTGTAGATGGACTTTTCAACCGTTTCATCGTTTCTTCTTTTTACAAACAGGTCCAGGAAATTGAACTCATCGTTGTGTTCAAATTTCATGGTGAATTTAATAATTTAATTTAGATTTTTCTGTTTTCTGTCTTCTCTCAACCCCCACCTTTCTTTCATAGTTTGATAGCAAATAAATTGATGGTGACTTAAACTAAAAAATTGTAATATTTACATTCCAGATGCCTTCATCTTATAATGTTTTCATTATTACCTTTCAAACATTGAAGTATGAAATGTTATTATTTATAATCATTGTAATTTCAGGCAGTGGTGTGCAGCTGATGAGAACCTGTGAGACAAAATGACATCATCTTATACTATAAAGCTGGTCTTTCTTTCTCTATCAAAATCTGTCAAGCAAACTAAATGTATGAAATATTCATAATGACCTGGAAGTGCTTTTCTTTTTGCACGTGTTCATTTTATGAATGGCTCATAAATAAATCTTAGTAAATTTGAATGTAACGAAGAGTGAATTTTCAAAATGTATTGACGTATAAATAATGGTTATCTTGCACAGGTGTTATTAACAGACTGTTCGGGGATTTTGCTTTATAGCATTGTCTGCTTTATTTGTATGTCCTCTAGTCATTATGAAGAAGTTATCAGTTAAACTGTTTCATTTTAGTACTGTCAAATGATGTTTATGTATTTCTCTGCACAGTGGTTCAGACGTTCTCGTCAGTAGATTCAGCACAAAATTAGGAATAGTGCGTCATTAAAAAATCGTTTGAATCTTGCAGTGTCCCGATCCTGATTCACTATACTCGAAAATATGTAATTCATTTCAACAAAATGATCTGGTATCGGTTTTCTAATGGTCACGGTTTCCTTAAGCTTGTAAATATCCACTAATTTTATAGTTTTTAAAGCTTGAATGGTGTTTATTCGTCTACAGCTCTACTCCTATGGAGCAATTTACTTAGGCCGTACAGTTAGGCGTGTTTCTCATCGGATTTTTGAACATAACCCTGCATTGTGGTTAAGTAAAAGATAAACAAAACCTATTTACAGCGTTATTCTATCTCATCTTGTTGATACAGAACATAAGATTGATGTCGAAAAGGCAGCTTTCAAAGTCATCTTCCACATACCAACAAATCTTAACTTCGCCTTAAGATTAAGATCACTAAATATTGCTGAGGCTGTAGGAATCCACATTAAGACACCTAATTTATGCGTCCAAAAGAAGCTAGTTCAGACATTATCCTTACCTTGGCCCTCTAAATCTGAATGGTCCTCAATTTTCGTGAAAATTCCTCTAATTTTAGTTGATATTCTATTTGTTATTATTACTGTTATGATTTAAGCACCTTTACTGAACTGTAATTCCATTGATATTACTTTACAAATCGACATTATTTAAAACGACTATTCTAGAACATTCTGTATATATATATATATATATATATATATATATATATAACTGTAGAGCCAGAAGAGGGAATTCTCGAAAAGGATATTCTTTGATCAATTATTTTGTGTTTTATAAATGTCTGAATGAATATTTTCGCTATATAAAATAGTTGTCTATTAAGTGTTAGTTTATGTTCACTTGAAAAGTCGTCGAAATTTAGGCAAGAGTTGTTCTGTGTTTCTGGAGGGTATCATTTTATACGGTATCCTAATATCCGTAGTGTTAAGTCTTAGACAAATTTCGGTCTGTCCAGTTAAAATTATTGTTTTACGAACATTGTTGAAAGCAGATAAAAAAAAGTATCGTAAGATCTATTTATCTACCATAAAATTTAATCTAATCATCTGAATATCATCTATCATCTCAAGACTAGCCATAAAAGTATAAATATTGCTAATGCAAGGTCCACTGGATTATCTATGGCCACTTCATCAACTCATTGGTGAACATTGTTATTGGACTGCTATTATACAACACTTGGTACATAAGAAGAATAGGATTTCAAACTACATTGTATGTAGGCTGAGAAGACTGGCTTCTAAACAGACGTTTATGCCTCAAGGATGATAGGGAGAGAATAGGTTATTTACGTCATGGAATTCAAGCAAATTCATATTTGGGAGAATCTTCATTTATCTCCTACAGACTTTGTTTCATATTTTTCTACTCTGCTATTTTCATCCAAAAAGTTATTTTAGTATGTGGGACTTAATTCAAAATAAAGATATTTTGTTTTTGGCTAGAATTATTACTATTATATTATTATTGTTTCTTTTGGTCCCTAGAGGTATATAGGGTTTCATACTCACATCTTTATTGTGTTCAGTTCTCTGCCAACGTTTTCACCTAACTCTATATCTGTCCACATACTTTCATCTCTTTTCACATGACATCCTCCATGTCACCCTCCAACTGACGACTAATTCACTGTTTCTCGTTTGCATTCCACTCAAGTGATGGCCTGGCTTGCGATGTCGCTTAATGGTTTTCTCAGATTATGGTCAATCGACCTTCATTTCTTCCGACATATCTGTTGCCCAGTCGGTTCCTGTTGAGTTCCTCCGCTCCCAGAAATCCCTTTTGTTGATCATTTCTGGCCATCTAATCTTGAGTACTGAGAGAAGACAGCTGTTGTTGGAGGTCTGTAGTTTGTTCGAAGTGCTCTTCATAACACACCAAGAACTTGATTATTATAGTAGCACTGACTTCACACTAGAGTTGAAAATCCTTATTTTTCATTCTGAGTGCTGTTGACCTCCACATAGACTTGAGGAAAATGAAAGCTTGCCTTGCTTTCTCGATCCGCGCTTTAATATTTCCGTCACTTCCGCCTGTAGTTGAAACGATGCTTCCCAGGTAGGTAGATGGGTAGGTAGGTAGGTAGGTATGTTAAAGAGGTTGTTTCTTTTAAATTTCTTCCATTTTTGCTGATTGTTGTCAGTTGTTATTGCTGTTGCTGTTGGCCTCACCTCTGTTTTCCCTGTGTTCACTTGAAGTGAAGTCTTATCATCAGCGAAGTCCAGATCCTCCAAGTTTTTGTGTCGGTGCATTTAATGCCTATTTCCTCGTTTCCTGCTGTCTGTCGCATTATCCAGCCTTCCGCAATCAGGAAAATCATTAGAGATAGTAGGCAGTCTTTTCCTACTCCCGTCCTCCTAAAATGGTAACTGAAAATTATTCAGTAACACTACCTACTTTTCAAAATATGTGTGACTAAAGAGTTAATAACGGAGCAAAGTATTAACTAATTTATTATGAATTCCAGATGAAGCATAGGGATTCAAGTTTCACTAGCAGTGTTGTTATTTTTACGGAGTGGGATTGCAAGCCTCACTCCCAACCTTCTCTCTTTCCCTGCTTACCATCGGTTATAAAACTATGTGGTTTAAGCTTAGGAACTTGAAAAACGCATGTTGTTGGCGAGCATT